TGTGGATCATGTGGATTGGTCATTGATCGATCTGGCCCCGGGATCCTGAGTTGCTCAAGAAGCTCGTGCAGCAAGCAGACGATATCGACTCGCCACAGATGCTTGCCGGAAACTATCTGTCCCTGCATCCAAAAATCCAAAGATGTCCAAACTCTGAAAAGTTCCATGTACTGAATGTAGAGGCACCCACCACCTATTTCTCCTTTTGGTTTCACCAGCCTTTCACTCGGCACAAGACCTCATGTAGAGGCTCAATTTCAGACCGACTTTCATGAGGGATGCACAAAGGATGGCAGTTTCTCTTGAACGTTTGAGGTCCTGGCTGAGAAAAGAGGCAAAAAACATTCAAGACAATCCGGAAGAAGGAGTAACCCCACTCATTTGTTTGAGATGCCTGGCTCTTGCAGTGTGCAACACTAGCGGTTTTTCAGGAACTGTGCTTTCAACATCTTTCAACATCATGGTTCCGTTTCGAATCAGTTCTGAGCAGGATGGGCAGCGCAGAAAGGAAAGGGCAAAGGCACGCCGGTACAAGCACGCACAGCATCATGAAGGGCTGCTAGAGATTTGCTCAGCCAAGTTGCATGGGTGTGAGAAATGCAGCCCGGATAATATTTGACGATTGAAGTGAGCCACAGGGAATGACTGGAAAGACAAGGACAAGGACTGGAAAGACAATGGAGACTGGAAACAGAAGGCAGGTTAGCACCGAGTAATTTCTTTGCATCATTCGCATCTCCTTTCCGTTTGTCCAACTGTCACACTGTTCAATTCGACATTATTGTTTTGCGTTTTACCTTTCTTGGAAGTCAGGGCGGGACCATCCGCGCGGCGAAGGTCCTGCCCTCGAGTCCAAACTGAGCAGGTTCACGCATTAAAATACATTAAAGATATTAAAGAAGTAGAACGAGTTTTCATGACTGTTCATTTGCCCTTCGCATAACAGTGTTCTTTCCATCCAAACAAACATCAGCGTGTTGAGATGCGTTGAAAGCTCAAGATTGATGAATTTCTGGAAGTTCCTTGGCATGGAACCATCTGTGTTCTGTCACAAAGGCCACAGATTATGGTGATGCCGCTTGGATTTACATTCAAACCTGTCCCGATTCCAAATCTTGAGTGGTTTCTGGAGTAGGAAGTCCGCAAGGTTTCTGCCGTTTGCTGAAAATATCTTGAGATGTATGTAGTATGTTGAAAGAATAAACATGATAAGAAATACCCGTGGTATTGCTGTTGCTCAAGCTACCAAGGTGCTTCCAAAGCTAGGTTCCAGGGTGTATCCAGGTTGTGCTTCCTCTTGTTCTTGTCAATGACAATAGCTCCTGAGGAGAACGTATGGAAGTGCCATGCTCCGATGATCCTCAAATGGTCCATCTTCAAAATCGGGAGCGTAAGCGCAGCACTGGGCGGCGTAAGCTCGCGCAAGAATTCGCACAAGCAACCGGGAAGGGAGAGGCAATCAAGACATGCAAAACCTGTGCTTGAACCTGCGTAAGCATCAGCGCTAGCGAAGGAAAGTGATCTGGACAGGTGGGTAAGGCACATGGCAACATCCCACTGGCCATTCTGGGCTGACTAGATCAGCGCTTCAAGACAGATCGAACACAGAAAACTAGCATGATATGTAGATATATTATAATTGCAAATATGTATGAATGACATGGTGCACAAATTCACACTACACATACTGTACTACACGAGTTTCCGGATGGATTCCTTCGGATCTATTTCACTCCATTTCTGTCTTTTTCATTGAGTTCTTGTTGATTGTTTTGTAGACAATGGTATACCACGCATGTACACACTGCAACTTGGTCTCACAGATGGGTTTGCCTCAACACCGGTAGCAACGCGTGCGGGGTACACCAGTTCTTACATTCGAAGCATGTCATCATGCATCATCCATGCAGGGAAGGACAGGCTGGCTTTGAGGCATCTCGGTGGAGGGTGGAGTCCTACTGTACACCGTACCGTATCAGATAACAGAAATATCCACTAGGAAGAGATAGGAAGACAGGGATCGCCCACACTCTAGTTGCGCATCAGACCAACAGTCTATTTTTTGTTTCTTACAAAGGCAGGAAGCCCACCTGCAAAGTGGCAAAAGACCGGGAATTCTTGGGACGACAACAAGAAGCCGTGGGAAAAGAAGACTTGGAAGGACCCGATTGAATGCTCTTCAATGCTCTTTCTATGCTGGGACGTGTTTATGCCCAAGTCTTTTTTGTCGACACGTTTCATAGTCTTCTTTCCCAATCGCTGAGTTTCATAGTCTCTGTTTGCAGCTGCTCCTAGCCTCGTGAGGATTGGGGCAAGTCAGAGGCCTGCAACCCTGTGCAGAGCTGTTTGAAGATGTTTCTAGCCTTTCTGTGAACATGACAAGTTGATACAAGCTGCAGATTCCGTGGTGTAGGAAGATCATACACAATGATACACCATCTCTTGAGAGGGAAGGTCCAAATGTATAGTCAGAACGAGTCAGATCTCTGTATTTTGGAAGGAAGATGAATGGTCCAAGGACAGGGAGCCTTTGTGGCTGGTGGTTTTCGTATTGGGAACCTGTGAATCAATGTTGGCAGATTCACGTCGGCCACCACCAATACTCCTAGGACAAATCACTTATCGTTTTGGTGATGGCCTTGCAGCCATGGGAATGGTTCGTTGTGTTTGCAAAATGAGAGCGGTTCTACATGCGCCTCCCAGCAAGTGCGTCAATTTTTAAGCTTGCAGGAAATCAAAGCAAAGAAGGGCTGGAAGTGATGCACCGATGCACCAGACTCTTGAATTGAATTGATCTGGTGACATGCTTTCATGATCTTCCATGATCTTTCATGTCTCTGTGTTCTCAGGGGCTTTGCCTCTGTTCCTCAGGTTCTTGAACGACTGAGACTTGAGCTGCGGCTCGGCTTGAATCGCAAGGTCCAAAAAGTCGCGTAGCGAAGAGTAATATTTGTCTTTCCATCCTTACTTACTATGCCTTACTAGTCAGTATACATTGGCTTTACAATGCGTTGCATTGCGTTTGTTGTTCTTTGTGGTCAATGCAGTTTTTGCAAGGGCTCATCTGTGTTTGCCCCTGCAGCCTGGTGGATTCTTCCGCAGCCAGTGTGGCTGAGCACAATTGTTTTGGGAAACTTGGCAGCTGACAACTGCACACCGCGTTGCAGCTTGCTCTTTTAAGGCCTGGGCTCGCATGCAATTGGATTCTTCAGATTGATCATGATTGTGCCTTCTACCTCGAGCGAATACGGCTGAAACCATTTCATGGAGTCTCTCTTCCTTCAGCCGCATGTTGGATTTGCATGGGTCTGCTTGCTTCACAACAGTCCCCTATCATGTTTGCCTAGCTCAATTGAAAGTCATTAGTGCAGGGTCTGGGTCTCGCCATCTACTTATATAACATTGTTTGCAGCAAGGCAACGTTGCAAAGGAAGAGATTGAGCTGATGCGGCCAAGCTCTTCCCACAGGCTGCATGTGAGGGTTTTCACGGCAGAACTTGTCCCCCTTGATTTGCTCTTGCGGTGTCAGATCACAGAGTGAAAACACCAAAAGCGGCAGTACCTTTCCAGCACACACACACAAACCAGATAGAGCCAGATGACATAGTGGTAGCATGTGATAGCCTTCAAGGCTTCGCAATCCCCTCCAAAAGACTGATGAGATGCTATCAGGCCCCTGCTCCAATGAGCCCAAGTCTCAGTCCGCCATGTCTGAATTCATCAGTTTGGCTGACTCTCATCATGGGCAGACACATGAGTCATCATGATGAGTCATGATGAGGCTGGTATGTTGGCCACGATGGGCGC